TGGCCCAGGGCAGGGGACCCCCAGCTCATGGGAGCACCAGGTGAGGCCCCAGCAGGGGGATGGAGGGTCCGGGCCAAGGCAGCAGTGCAGGGCAGTGGCAGGACTGGTGGTCTTCGGCTCAGGCAGGGAATGGCAAAGTGGTGAATGGAGCATCTGAAGGGCTCTCATTGCCTCATCTTCATCCCCGTGGCTGGAAGCGAACGTCTGCTCCAAGCAGCAGGAAATTCTGGGAGAAAGAGAGAAAGCACTGGGCTGCAACAGGCCCTGGCAGCTGCATTGCCCAGCACCCACAACATCCCTGAACGGAGAATGGATTGGGACATTCCACCAGTCCCTGTGCCTGTTTTTCCCCCTGGAAGGCTCTGGAGGCATTTCACAGCCACACCACACTACAACTTTTCAGCACCCCCATGGAGACCCTGCTTTGGTGTTTCTCTAAGGCACCTCACAACAGGGGCTCTCTCTGGTCTCCTGGTCCTGCTACAGCTCCTTACAGCTGAGCAGGCAGGGGCTGCATCCTCCCAGGCATCACAGCATCCATCCCGGCATTGCCAGTCAGGGAGAGGATTTGGGACTGACACTGCTATAAAAAGTGTTCTGGGAAATTCAGTCCCCAGGCTTAAGAACGGGAGGATGATGTGGTCCATCCCAGACACCCACCATGCAACCAGGAAAACACAGAATTCATTTGCTGCTGAGTGTTCCCATGCACCATTTCCTAGCACAGCTGGGAGAACTGGATTTGGAGGCTGTGCTGGTAAGCAGGGCTTTGTGGGCAGCACGATGGGCCCCAGCTGGGGCCAGCTGCTCCCTCTCACTCACCTGGTGGAACCTCACAAGGATATTGGAGAGCTGAATCCTGTCCAGAAGTGGGAGAGGGAAACCCTCATCTAAGCGGGCTGGAAAAGACAACACATGTGTCTGCACTGGGATGGGAATGGGAGTCAAGGGAGCACAGAGCACTCAGAGAAGGTGGCCACCCCCTTCCCCCTGCCCTTTCCTCTCTGCCCCTGCTCCTGGGGCAGGCAGAGGAAACTCCTCCCAAGCTCCACAGAAGGGCTGCATGTTGTGCCATGGCAGCCCCCTTGGCCACTCCTGCCACCAGCCCCACTCTGGTCTGAGCTGCTGGCGAGGCAGGAGATGCAGGGATTCGGGGAGAGGGTCTGGAAAGCATTAGGATCTGCAGAGGGCTCATATTTTCCCTCCACAGAAGGGCTGCGTGTTGTGCCATGGCAGCCCCCTTGGCCACTCCTGCCACCAGCCCCACTCTGGTCTGAGCTGCTGGTGAGGTAGGAGATGCAGGGATTCGGGAAGAGGTCTGGAAAGCATTAGGATCTGCAGAGGGCTCATATTTTCCATTGCGTTTGTTGCTTGGAGCCTGTCAGAGCAGCAAGAGGCTCCCACCGCTTCACTGCCGCCTCCTGCACGCACTTTTCCCTGCATCAGCCTTGGCAATGAGGATTTAATTAGTGAGAGGGGACCCCTTGGGTGGAATAACCTGAGTGCAGGGTGCTCCAGCAGCCCCATCCCCCCCAATAGGTTCTCACCATTGAGACGTGGGAGCAGGGTACTGGAAGTCATGATGTTGATTAAGGACTGCATCATTCGTACCTGAGTAGTGGGGAGATGAGGGAGGCAAAGCTTTAGTCTGCAGGACAGGAGACATGAAGGTACTCGAGGATAATTAGTAAAAGGAGAGGAGGAGCTGGGTTGGGCACACTCTTTGCCAGAGACCAGCAGCTTTGTCTGTTCACACTGGCAGTGTAGGAAATGCTGGGCTGAGAGCAGCAAAGGATCAGGCTCTGCATCCATTCCCAGCCTTGCAGGCCGAGGCAGGAGGTGGCTGCAGGGTCAGCGTGGGGTCCCATGTTGGGAGGCAGCAGGGAATGACTCCCTGTCCTGGTCCCCAGCAGGCTGCCAGCTCCATGCTGGGGGCTCTGGTCATGGTCAAGGGTAGCTCACCTGGAAAGTGCCAACAGCTGAATCCTTCAGGGAGAGCCTGATCCTGCACAGGGACAGAAGTGGTGCTGTGGAGGATGTGCCAAGGCAGGGAGCGATTCCAACCATCGATGGCCATGCAGATCCCACTCCCTCCAGCCCCAGCTCATTCCCTCCACAGCAGGCCCACATCCCAGGGACCTTCCCCTCCCCTCTGTGTGCCTGGGCACCCAAACCAGAAAGAGCCCCAGGCACCCCCTGCCCAGCCAGTGGCTGCTCCCCTCTGTACCTGCCCACATCCAGGCTCCCAACTAAGCGGCCGGATCTCACGTTGATGACAGCGGACACGTTCCCTGTCTGGGGAGAGAGCACAGAGCTCTGGCAGGGCTCACCCCACCTCACCCCAAAGTCAGAAACCCAGGAGAACAGCTGAAACACCCTCTGCCCATCCAGGGGCGTGATTGCACCCAGCATTAAAGCTGCCATTTGTCAGCTCAGGAGTTGTTCGGCTGGGGACACCCTCACTGTGCCTGGACAGCACCTGAGAGCTCCCCTGGCAGGATCTGGGCAACAGGACTGGGCACAGCTCAAATTCCCTTCTACCCCATCTCCACAGGCCATGTCTGAACTCACCAGGCTGAGGAGGAAGAGAGGAGCCAGCTTGGAGTTGGGAAGGATGGCGTAAGCCTGGACATCCACAATGGGCTGGAATGAGATTCCTCCTGGTCCAATAGTCAGGAATGGAGCAGTGGGAGTGGACAGCCTGAACTTCATTGGCATGTTTGGGTACTTCTCCTCCAGCTGTGTGGGAGTAGGGAGAGGATGGGAATGATGGCACAAAGCCCCAGTCCTGAGGAAGAACACCTGGCACAGCGCAAAGCCTGTGTGTGCAAGAGCTCTGGGCAGGCAGGGCCAGACTGCTCACCTGGGGAATGAAGGCTGAGAAGATAGAGGTGTCCAAGCTGAATCCTGCATCCTTTGGGATCTGCAGGGAGAGGACTGGGTCACACTGGGGCAATGTGGCACAGAGGAGCCCATGGCATTCCCACATGCTGCCATGTCTGACAGCTCAGCCCCATCCCACAGCCCCCAGCTCTGTCACGGGGGCTTCTCCAGGATTGCTGGCTGCTCCCGGAGCTCCTGAGCAAATGGAACCTGTGTCTGTGCCCTGTCCCGCTTGTGCCACTCACCATGGCCTCTGTGATTTCAAAGACCAGTGCCCCGGCCTTGTGGTAGGCAATGCCAGCTGTGTTGAAGAAGTAGCTGGAGGCTCCAAAGTAAACCATGCGCTCGTGATCCGAGGGGAAGGCCAGTGGCAGCGGTGAGAAGGGGACGGTGGAGCGGTGGGCCAGGGAGTAGAATTCACCCTGGGAGGAGGGAGAGACATGGAGAAGGGGTGCAAATAGCAGTGGGGCTCACCTGCTGACTCAGGCCTGCAAACAGCATTTGCAGCAGGTACCAAAACCTCTGGCAATGGCATTGGGCAAATCAGGTGTTCCCAGGGCTGCCTCTCACCTTCAGGTCTGCATCCAGGGACTGAGCAGTAGCTCTTGGGGGTGCTACCAAGGAGTAATCAATCCCAATCTTGTCATCTATCCTGGCTGTGACTGCAAACACAAGCAAGAGAGATGAGTATGAATGACATGGTTGGGAGCAGATGGCCTCCACTGGCATCTGGGCAGTGCCATGATTGGGCTTCCTGATGCATCAGCTCACTACCAATTGCCCACATGCCTGCTTCTGCTAAGAAGCAAAAACTCCCACTTTTCCCCTGACTTTTTCACAGCCATCTCATAGACCTGAGGAATGGCCATCATCCCCAGTTAATGTCGCCTAGCCCACATCATCCCTTGGGCACCGAATCAGAAGGAATTTCCACAGCCAGACAGGACACGCAGTGATTTCTCTCTGCAGAGAAGGTGCTCCCAGCTCCCAGCTTGGGTAATGCTCCCGGAGATGGGGAGCAGATACAAAGTAAAATGTTCCTCATGGATGGGAAAAGCTAGGAGGAGCTGCTTCTAAACCCACTTACAGCCCCCCAGTACCTGGTAGTGTCTGGATGTACGTCTGGAGCTCGTTTTTCACAGACTTGGCCACATTGTCACACACCTGTGGGACAGAAAGGCCACAGAGCTGAGCAGGGCCAGCCGGGTCACAGCCATGCTCCCTGCTCCATGACAAAGCCTGCTGAAGTGAATGAGCACACAGTGATGATTGCCTCCATTCACCAGGCAGCACATTAAGTGTCCAAGACACAAGCAGGGTTTGTACATACAAGCATCTGCTTGCAGCAATTTCCCCTCAGCACAGTTCAGCTCTGAGGAGACCCTTGGAAGGAATCTCCTGTGGCCCATGCAGGAATGAACCGTGCTGAGCAGCCAGGGCATGGCCAAAAAATTGCTACAGAGAGGATTAATCCATCCCACAGAAGTGTACTATGGCTATATTTGTATCCTTATACTTGATCCTTTGAGGACATTACCTACAAGTGAGAACTAAAGAAAAGCAGTAATCCCAGGGCCCTGTGTTCCACTGCTCACATACCATGGTCTCTAAATTCTTCTGCAACAGGGACTTATGACCCTTTTTGAACAGGTCGTAAAACCACCTGCAGAGAAGCACAGAGAGAAGCCCTGCCTAGCTCAGATCCATACTGCAGAAATATGTGCCCAGGAAAGCGAGATGATAGAGGACATCATTCTCAAGCAAGACCCTGGGAACATCATTCCCACACCAATTACACATCTGGCTTTGCCCCAGGGTTTACATTGGAAAACAGACTCACTGCTAAACCACACCCACCCCCCTTTAATGTGCAGCCACAGCAGGAGAAATTCAGGCCAGATTTAAGACCAGGCAACCTCAGATTTGCCAACAACATACTCCTCACACCAGGGCCCCATTCCAATGGCAGAGCAACATTCCAGTGGCAGGCTCAAGCCAACTTTGGAGGCGCTGGCACTGCAGTCTGCGGTGCTGATGGTGGGCTTCCCAGTGGTGTCACTGCCCAGCCTCAGGATGATTTTGATGTAGATATTTTCCACCTTCAGGTTGAAAGATCCAGGCCCCCGTCTACAGGGAGAAGGGGGATGATAAGGGGATGTTTGTCAATGCCAAGACCTGGTGAAGAGACCTCAAATCCTCTTCAGGATGAATCTATCTGGATCAGACTCCCCCTTGTATTGTGCATCCAGAGGAGATTGGGAAAGTGTTCAAATTCAGGGGAACCAAATTTCACTGGCACATAAACTAGGAGAGGTAACCTTTAAAGAGAGGGGAGTGAGAGCAAGTGGGGGTGGTGGAAGAGTGACCTGAGGGTGCATGTATAGCTCCCCTTTCACAGTCCTTGTTCTTGCCTCCCACCCGTTTTTATCCATCATATATAGGGGACAAAAGTGACAGCTGCCCAAAACACAAGGGAGAGGAGAAAAAAACCTGTCCAGATCCAGAGAGTGAGATAGAGAGTGGGGGCCTGAATAGGGAGAGGAAGAGCTGAGCACTCACATGAAGAGAAACTTCACCCAGCAGTGCCCATTCATCTCAACAGAGGCATTTGAGATGGAGACCTGCAGGCCCACGTTGGAGATCGGGGTGATCCGTGAGTGTGGCAAGCGGAAACTGGGAATGTGCAGTCTAAAAATATGCAAATCAAAAGAAAGTCATGCTACAGTGGTTCCACACTACCAAGCACAAGGCTAGGGAGGGAGGGAAGGAAGGCGAGCAGGATGGAGTCACTGCACTGGCAGCATCCCCAGCTGCAGTTCTGCTGCAGTGAAGCTACACCAGGCAGGGACACAGAGGGCAGAGTGGCACCTTTGGGAATGTGGCCCTTGCAGCCGCCCAAGGCAGCTCCAAACGCTGCACTGCAGGAGCACAGAGGCACCCGGGCAGCAGGGAGCTGGCATTTCCACAGGGACTGGGCTCCTGCTTCACACAGGAACGTGTGCCCTGGTCCCACAGGCAAGGCCATCTCCACTACCCAGGCTTTGATTGCACACAGTCCACCCATGTCCAGAGTACCGTGACCCTGGTTCCAATTTTCCCATTGGGCAAGGAGTAAAACAGGAAGATATCTGCATGCACCAAGGACAGGGCCAACATCTCAGGGAGCTGTGGAGGGGACAGGATGGTCCTCACTGCTCCGGGGGCTCCCCACCACCCCCAGTCCTCCTGCAGTGAGTGCCTCTAAGGCACAGTCTGGGCTCGCAGGGCTCACCTGGAGAGCGAATAGTGCAACTCCCCCGATTTACCCGAGAAGTCTGGCAGCTTCAGCTGGGCCAGCTCCTTCTCCAGGATCGCGATCCCCTGCTGTTGGGCTGCAGGGACACAGGGAGAGCATGACTCCACCACTCCACTACTCCCTACTCCATCAT